ACCCCCCCCCCAACCATCCCGTCCCATTTCCCTTTCAATGCTGTAACATTAATCATACCCGTGCATCTAACGTTATTCAACCACTCGTATTGTGGATGCTGATTTTGTCTCTGAACCAAAGGCTCATTTCACGGGAGATCTGCCTTCTGCCTCCATAATGTCCACTCCATTCATGAAAGCATCTCCCGATCAGATAGAATGTGATTTCTTTTACTTATCTAAAGCTTCCGTAATTAAACACGTAATTAGACCGAGCGAGTTTAGAAACGCGGGACCTTAGAATTCCTCATCATTTCAATTTCAACCCAAGAGGGATAATTGCGTAATAGGCGGCTAATCATAATTAATTATCTCCCGGCTTACTGGGTCTTTTCACCACAACACATGTTATCGACAGCGTTTTAAGGCACTTGCAACACAATTTGGTCGTATACGTGCCGAAGGTTAGAAGTGTTACAAGAGAGTTACTAGCGCAGAGAGAGAAAGCGAGAGAGAGAGAGAGAGAGAGAGAGAGAGAGAGAGAGAGAGAGAGAGAGAGAGAGAAGGACGATCTAATAATAATTTTAGATGGAAACATGGAGGAGAAGCGTGGAAAGGGACATGAGAGAGATGAAGCTCATCACTTGGAACGAGCTAGGAAGGATGGCCTAGGACAGAGATAAATGAAGGAGCTTGTAGGTGGCCTATACCCTGCCAGGGGTGGAAGGCATTGGTGATGATGATGATGATGATGATGATGATGATGATGATGATGATGATGATGATGATGATGACGATGACGATGATGATGATGATGATGATGATGATGATGATGATGATGATGAATATGTTTGATTGGAAAGAAGGAGAAAACCACACTAGAGCACCCGCTAACCATCCACGGTTCTACTGTTTAGAAGAGGTTGTTTTTGAAGATACATTTCCACCCTGTGCAGTATTTTTACATTCTCAATGAGGTGGAAACAATAGCACTATGGTTCTTGAATGAACATTTTGTCATGTCCGAACAAATGTAAATGGAAACGCTTCAGCACAGAAAGGGTTAAAGATGCCATAAAAATATCTTTTCAACATTTTTACAAGATAATTGAAAACGTCTATATTTGAACGCATACAATTCGTGTCCCAATGCACACATATAAGATAAGAAAATAAAATTAGATATATCTTTCTTGTTCAGATTCTGGCACATTGTTTTGGTGTTTCAACACGTACATATCTACACACACACACACGCACACACACGCGCGCGCGCACACACACAAACACACACACACACACACACACACACACGCGCGCGCGCGCGCAGTATGCTTGCACCCACAGACAGGCTTACAGTCAGGTGCATAATATAAATGAACAGTAATATAAAGAATAATAATGTTAAGCGACATACATAGTCAGTACTCTGATTGTAGCTCAACAAAGGTATTCTAATGTATGCTCTAAGGTCATTTGAATATTCATAAATCAACAAGATGGTTCAGATGGAAGAAGTTTGATGGTTGATGTTAAAAATGACCTTGTGTATACATTTCTATAACAAAAAAAACAACAAAAAATAACAACCCCCTTTCTCCACCCACCCCTCCCTCCCTCCCTCCCAGCCCTTTCCACCAACCCACCACAACTACTCACCAGGCAGTCCGGATCCATAGCGTAGCAGTAGTCTCCCGAGGCATTCGTCTCCACCCACAGGTGCTCGCTGTTCTGCGCATGCTCCTGGACGACAAAAAGAACAAAAAGAATAACGTGAGAACACAAAACAAGGAAATTAATGATTGATTGACTCGTCTTTACGGGAGCGTAACGTACGTACGAAGAGCGAAGGAACAAGACACAATGGCAGGGCATTTTGTTTTGGTGGGGCCATTTGCGTGTGTGTATTGGGGAGGGGGGGGTTGTGGTTTGTTGGGGGTTTTTTTTGGTGGTTTTTTTATTTTTTTAATTCGATGGCAACAAGGCTACAGGGCGACCGAGAAAGACCTGGATAGATGGAGTCAAGGACACATCAACAACTCACGACATCCCCTTGACCCAAGCTCTCCGGCTGGTGCAGAGAAACGTCTCTTTCTTCCCGCGACACAAAAGGGTTGTTGTTGTTGTTTTCAAATCCCTTTAGCTGCGAGCATTTCGCTCTTGGCAGCGCAATACCTCCCTCAAGTAACCATATGTCCTTGTCATCTGGTCAACGCCAGAGTAGAGCAGGCTTAACACAAAAGGATATAACCGTGGATAAAAGTAAAGCTTTTTTTAAAGGAGGGGGGGGGGTGAACTCAGTTCTTTTTCTTCCGCCATCGCACGCAAGTTGAAGTAACTAACTACTACATTATTACAGACGCCAGTCCCGCTTGACTGTATGACGAAGCAAGCTATCCAACACGACAGGAGTAGAAGACGGGAACTGATAGTTTAAGTAAGAGTTATTAGGCACTTTCGACAAAATAAAGTCACACAAGTGCCTAAGATTGGATCTGATCTGTTACAAAAGAGAATGAAACACAAAAATAAAGAAGGAGGAGAGATCAGGACGACAGAATACGTTTGTTGACGGGAAAGAAGGAGCAAACCACACAAGAAAACCCGACAACCTCCCGAGAGAGAAGGGAACTATTAAGAAAAAGACAAGAAATTCTAAATTTCCTACCAACTGAAAATGTTCAATGTGTCCTGCGCGCTCATATGACCTAATGCTATTGCGAGCGCCGTATAACACTTCTCCCCCCCCCCAAAAAAAAAGAAAGCAAATATGAACTACCAAAGGTGCAGTCTTGATTAACCATCAACATTAAAGACGTGCAGATGCTCTGATAGGCAAACCTTGCAACCCACCCTCCCCCTCTTCCCTCTCCCGTTCCCCTCCTCACCTCCTCACTTTTCTGACGAAGAGGAAAAAGGGAGATTTTTCTTGGGTTTTTTATTTGGGGGGGGGGGGGGTAGGGTGGCGGCATCACAAGAACATTCTCATGAATAATAAATAAATGGAGTCTAGAGTTGTCCGGGACAGACTTTCTCTAGACACGCAACACTGCGCTGCCCACCCTAGGATTACAAAGATCTATCTGCCCGGTACTTTGTTTTGAGGAATTTTACGTCAAAAGTCTCGAATTTCATAACATGTCAAGCTTTTTCGAATGCAATTATTCTTTGAATACCTTGATGACGACACCGAATAATCCTACGATTTTGATAGAGCAGATAGAACATTTGGTTTCTGACTTCTGACCTCGTGGTCTTATATTATATTGTGACTCAAGACGGCCAAAAATGTCAGATAGAACTTTGTAATTTTCTAGTCTAGACACGCAACACTGAGCCGAACGCACGACAGGGCTTAAAGACACACCAAGCTTAGGGGAGTTTTAGTTTTTGTAAGAGTGTTACGGCACTTGCAACACAATAAGGTCATATAAGTCGTGCCAAAGATGAGAGGTGTTACAAGAGGGTAACAAAAAAAAAGAAGAAAATATAAAGACAATATGTTCCATTCTTCCAATGAACCAATATATTTGATTATACTTTACGGAGCAGGCTGCCCCGTCCGTACCTGTGACGGGTAATTACTGAATGTGTGGGATATATAGCAACCCACCAGAAAGACGGGTCGAGACATAATAAATAATGTGCTCCTTATACTTATAATCTAGACTTCCCCCGCGAGTGAATCAAACTCACGTCTTTCTTTTGTGTTTTAGTAAGCGTTCAACGGCACTTGCAACACAATTAGGTGAAATAGGTGCCGGAGATTAGAGGTTTTACAAGAAGGTAACAAACACAAACCGGAAGTAGAGATGAGGATAATAGTTTGAAGTTTGGTGGGAAAGAAGAAGCAAACCACACCAGAGCCCCCACCAACCACCCACTCGGGTTTTTCGCATGTAATGGCAAGCTGTCTTACCAGTACACCACAAATACTTGGTCCTAAGATCCTAAGCCAATCCTCACATTCTGAAATAAATGTACTACTGTCTCACACCCAAAAAAAAACCCAACAAAAAACGTAAGTTCGATTCCTGTGTGCGGAGTATTTCTGCAAAGATTGTACATAACAAGAAAGTTCACTCCTCTCTTTGAGCCAACTTAAAAAAAAAAGTTTCCTCAAAATTCGGCGGCGCCCTCTTCGAAAAAGCAAACATTTGGGAACAAAGTTACCCTACTTGTGTGAAAAACAATAAAAGTGAAACTATCAAACTGTGCTATTTCTATTCTTCTTCTGGAGAAACGAAAGAGGGCTTCAAAACAAAGACTGCAGCGCTATCTGAAGCAATGCGCGGATTTTCGCGGACACTTTTTGTCTGAGTGAACTATCCTGTTATGTACGATCTACTGGGACACAGTATCTCAACCACCCAAGACAGGCGTGGTTGAGACAGTTCACGTCACCTTCTAAATGACCTAAATTGTAACTGTGGGGATATTAAATAAGAAAGAAAAATCAAATACAAAAAATAATACAATTGTTGGACATCTCAGCCTATCGGAAAAAAGGCTTGTTGTTCAAAGTCGATGCGATACCTAAACTGAGATGAAAAGGTTGAAACGAGTTTTAACACAGAGGTTCTAATTTTTATTTTTATTTTAATATTTTAAGAAATTATTATAATTATCTTTGTAATTTTTGCTGAAGAGGTCCTTGGATTCAGTGCAAAATCCCTGGTACACTTATTCTATACCAGTTGCTCTTCACAGAGTCAACTTCAGTTTCGTTTCTTTCCTTTCCATAATTCTAGAATAATTTTTGATTTCTTTTTACGTTTCAAAATCATTTCCGGCATGCTCTTCCTCTCGGAAATAGGAAGGCGCAAGAAGTACCCGAGGAATAAGAGCATCTTGTGTAGATGGTACTGGGGGAATAAAGGGGTTTAAAAGGGTAGGAGGAGGAAGAGGGGAGGGAGGGAGAGAGAGAGAGA